AAGGCAAAGCTCAGATCTGTTGTTCATAGAATCACTATGAGTTGCAGTCAACTTTACAGCCCTAAAAATGACAGCACAAATTCTAAATCCTACCTCCAACGTTGTGCAATGAAATTATATGAACAGGGCCAGGGTTTTTTTTTTAAACTTTAGTATGATCAACAATATTTTTGTGTTTCTCAGAGCATGATGGATATCTTGAGTATGACACAGGATAGTGCAAGCTTCCAATCTGTTGTTGATAGAGCTCGTAGGGCTAAGAGTCACAGTTAAGTTGATGGCATCTAACTGCAACAATATGTAGGATCTTGATATACTAGAATATTTCCTTTTAGGGAACAAATATTGTGCTGCATTTATCATTGCAATTGTCCTGGTAATATTTTGTAAGTGTTATAAGATTTGATAAGCTTTGCTTTATGTGCTATCCTTCTGTTTTGTCACAGGCTTACCCTTGTAGCAGCGATAAGGAATGTGAAGTTGGGAGGTATTGCCACAGTCCCCACCAAGGATCATCAGCCTGCATGGTATGCAGGAGGAAAAAGAAGCGCTGCCACAGAGATGGCATGTGTTGTCCTGGCACCCGTTGCAATAATGGTAAAGATCTCCCTACACATTGGTGGGATTCTTTATTTATTTATTTTTATAATACTGGTTTACTTGCAAAGTTCTTACACATTGTTTTCCACACTTCATCTTTCCCATTTGAGTCAACCCCCCTCCCTCCACCCATCAAATTTTGTGACCCTGTGTTTAACCACTCCAAACCCCCACTATCCTCACCCTTCTGCTCTCCCCCAACCCCTGATCTCCATAGTCATTCTACAGTAATGGTCTTAAACAATATTGTTTCCATTTTCTTGAAATGGTCAATAACACTGCTATGAACATTGGTATACAAGTCTCTGTTTATGTCTCAGTTCTCATTTTCTAAGGGTATATTGCAAATAGTGGAATAGCTGGATCGTATGAAATTTCTATGTTCAGCTTTTTGAGGAAGCACCAAGCTTCCTTCCAGAATGATTGTAGCATTTTACAATCCCACCAATAATGTATAAGAATTCCTTTCTTGCCACATCCTCTCCAACATTTATTACTTGCTGTCTTGTTAAACTTTGCCACATACCAGACTGAGATGGTACCTCATGGTGATTTAGATTTGTATCTCTCTTACTGCGTGTGATTTTGAGCATTTCTTCATGTATCTGTTTGCAATAATACACTTATAATCCTTAGAGTTTTCATGGGATGAGTTTTGCAAGTAGGTATCCCGATCTTTCTTCCTCCTTTGTTTAGTCTGGAAGGCCCCCTGAAACCTATTACTCATCATAACAGCAGGCCGTCTTCAGAAGGGTAGGGCACGTGTCTGGTATATACATGAGGTTCCATGTCTGGGACTCTACCCTAGGTCTCCTGCATTTAGGAGAGACAAAGAGAGAGAGAGAGAGAGAAGCGAGAACTCTGCTAGTAATTTTACTTTTACTATTTTTATATACACCTGTTCTCCAAAGTAAGCTAAGTTCTCCTTAGTCCAACCCTTGCAATATAAGAAGCCTTTAAGCAGCAGGGGTTAAATTATGGTTAGGATACATGCAAAATCACCTAGATTACCATCCAAAACTTATTTTCCT